CAGTGCTCCTGAAGCACCCACCTCCACGCGACCAGCTCTCCAGCTGAGCGCAGGGATGGGGGCAGATACTGAGGTGGCCTCGCTGCTGGCACTGCCCTAGGCAAGCCACCCCAAGCAAGGCAAAGCCCTTGAGCAACACCCACTTCTACCCTTGACCTTCGGGCCAGCAGCTACGTGCAGGCGCTGTTGGAACTTGTGCCAGTGCCTTCCACAGCACCCACCCCTTCCCACCTGCCTGCACGGACGAGGTCCCGCAAGGACCTTCCTCGTGCCTTTGTCTCACCTTGTAGCCCAGCAGCAGCCGCTGGACGGCCCTGTAGACGGCCTTGGGGTCGGTCTCGGCGCGCACTTCGAAGGTGTGCTTGTCCGGGGGCAGCAGCTCTTCACCCGCCTTCTCCAGCAGCGCGCTGCGCTCCGCCGAGAAGAGGGTGGTGAGATTTGGCATCTGGTTGCTGCGAACCTGCACCCACAGGGGACCAGGTCAGAGGTGGGGGGAGAAGGACCCTGGGCTGGGTGGTCTCGGGGGGCTCTCCCCTCCATGCATCATGAGATGCCTCCCACCAAGCCCTGCTGAGACATGGCAGGGATGTGTGGAGAAACCTCCTGCTGCTTGACTCCCATCACAGGGTCATAGAATGGTTTGGGTTGGAAGGGACCTTTAAAGGTCATCTAGTCCAACCCCCCTGCCATGAGCAGGGACATCTTCAACTAAAGCAGCTTGCTCAGAGCCCCGTCCAGCCTGACCATGAATGTTTCCAGGGATGGGGCATCTACCACCTCTCTGGGCAACCTGTGCCAGTGCTTCACCACCTTCACTGTAAAAAACATCTTCCTTCAATCTGCTCTGAATCGGCTCTTTTAGTTTAGAGCCATCACCCTGTGTCCTGTTGCTACAGGCCCTACTAAAAAGCCTGTCCCCATCTTTCTTCGAAGCCCCCTCGAAGTACTGAAAGGCCACAAGGAAGTCTCCCCGGAGCCTTCTCTTCTCCAGGCTGAACAGCCCCAACTCTCTCAGCCTGTCTCCAGAGCAGAGGTGCTCCAGCCCTCAGATCATCTTCGTGGCCTCCTCTGGACCCGCTCCAGCAGCTCCATGTCCTTCTGCTGTTGGGGACCCCAGAGCTGAAGGCAGCACTGCAGGGGGGTCTCAGGAGAGCAGAGCAGAGGGGCAGAATCCCCTCCCTGACCTGCTGCCCACGCTGCTCTGGGTGCAGCCCAGGGCACGGGTGGCCGTGAGTGCACATTGCCGGCTTCTGTCCAGCTTTTGATCCACCAGCACCACCCACCTCCCAAGTTCCACCTCACCTTGTCCAGCACGAAGACGGCAGCTTTGCGCTGCGAGGGGATGAAGAGGCCCAGGAGTGCCTTGCTGCCCTGGGAGCTGTGGTAGAGGTAGATATGGCGAATACTTCCTAGGGACACAGCGCGCAGCGTCAGTGGTTCTCGCGGGTGCCGGGTCCCGGGTGCCCCACAAGCCCCTCTCTCTCGGGATGCCTCACCTGGCTCCAGGTAAGCGAACTGGGCGAGCGAGCGCATCTCCAGGTGCTCGATGTCAAAGGTTTCAGCCTCTCGCCCCACGAGGTGCCTGACGAGCTGCCTGCTGACCATGCACACGCAGCCCAGCTGGATCAGGGCACGGAGGAGGAGCGGCACCTGGAACGATGGTGAGAAGAGATGTGGTGGAATGACGTGCTGCTGCCAAGCTCTTCTTGGGGGTTTCAGACCTAGAACAACCTGCCTTAAAAACCACAGGTAGGACATACCTGAGGTGCCTCCAGCATGAGTTTGGTATCATCACCCTTGCCAGCGCTGGAGACACACAACAGGTATCTTAATTCTTAATTCACACGTGCTCCTATCCAGCCCCGGGTCCCACCGTCAAGGGAAGCAGCAGGTACTTTGGCGGACGTGGAGCAGTACATGGGCAATCTTGCAGCTCTGCAGCTTGTGGTTGGTCATCTGAACCACCAGATAATGGGCACAGTGGGAGACCCACCACCGATTTGCCCCGTTTCGTTAACCCTACAGCTGTAAACTCCACAGCTGCAGAAGACTCCTGAATGACTTGCTGTGGGACCCAGTCCCAAACCAGTGAGAAGCGATACACGTTCCTTGCCTAATCACACTTCCCTCATGCCCGTGTTGACTTTACAGCCCCCTAGTACATCCCATTTTCAGATGTCTTTAGCAAGCCGAAGCATTCCCGTGTCCTTAAACCCTGTCCCTGCAAGGAAGCCGTTCCCTCCATCACATCTTCCTCATCATCCTCCTGTGTTAGTCCTGCTACGTTTTTTGGAGTCCGTGCTCAGAATCGCACTGCAGATGTTTAAAGATCAAGACAGACCTTTCCTTGCCCAGGACTGTGTCCAGCTGGGTTCTCTGTATCTCCAAGGATGGAAACTCCACAACCCTTTGGACGACTCGCTCAACTGCTCTTGCAGAAGTTTTTTCTGGTGTTTACACAGAATTTCCCATGCTTCAGTTTGTGCTCGCCGCCTCCCATCCTCTCCCTGGGCACCCCTGAGAAAAGCCTGGCTCCTCTCCTTTCCTCCTCCCACCAAGAAGGTCCCCTGAGCCCCTTCTCCTCCAGGTTGAACAGTCCCAGCTTGCTCTGGGATTAGATACACATCCCACTGTAACTCTTTCCAGGCTATTCCAATAACTTCCGTAGCTGAAGTCTCTGAACTTTATGATGCTCCTTCGCCCTTGCAGCCTCCTACATCTCACAAAGCATTTTGTGGCTAACAGCACCCCTGCTCACACCCAGCTTGTCCTACTTAGGCAAAGACTTTCGATCCACAATAATTCTACGTTGCATTTGAGTAGCAAATTCATTTGCCTTTGTGCTTTCTTTAACGCATAGCTCCCCTCTTACAACAGTGCAACCTACTCTGCCCCTTCCATAGAGGTCAGGTCCAGACACTACAATGTCTTCTTGATTAAATTCCTGTCACCGAGTTCTGAGCTGCTGAACACACCAGTGTCCTCATTAGAAGCAGGCATCCCCGTTTCCCATCTGAATTTTCAGACTTTCAGCATTAATAGCACTGGCAAACTTAAATTTTGCCTTGATTGCTTTGTACTGAACTTCATTCAGGTTGTTCTCGCTTTTCCTGAACTTTCAAGTTGGATCCTATTCTTCTTTCTAAAGCTTTTACCACCTTGTCTTAGAGGACAGGGCACCCTGACCTATGTACAATTCCACGTGTGTTGGGTTTTCCCCATCTTTACTCTAAATACCCCTTATCTTTTCTGGTTCGAACACCGGCAGGCGGGTTCTGGTTCAGTTCTGAGGAAGATCACCTTTTCTGCTTAAACACTTCCTTCCCCAAAGTTTCCTAACTTCAGATAAGCCCCTTTCCCTGACGTGCCTTAAACCCCGTGCTGACACTCAGTGTCCCTGCCCACACGACTGCGGGTATATTCCCCAGGACTCTGCTGTGCAGGGTCTTTGATTTTTGGTGTCTCACCAAGCTGTTGAATTAAGTGCCAGGTGTCCTCCTGTGCCCCTGGCACTCCGACTAACGAGCTACCGCTCAGCAATCATTAAAAACGAGCGTCCAGAGGAGCTACCTGCGTCTCATACACTCCCTCGATGTCCGGAGCAGAGAGGTCTGCATTGATTTCATTGATGTGGTCTTGGTACATGTCCTCAGGGACGGAGTATTCATACAGGTTGTAAACTAAGTTTGAGCGCGGCAGGATCCTGTTCACCTGCCGAGGCAAGGGACACGCTTAGCGGGGCACGTCCCACCACGCGGCACTGCTGCCAGGCACTGGGCTCTGAGCCAGCCCAGCTCCTGGTGCTCCTCTCTCCCAAGGAAATCAGTGGGTTTTGCTCGTGCACGTTACAAATTCACGTAACAGAGAACCTGCTTTCTGGGCAGGCTGGGATTAGCAGAGGGACCGGGGACTGGATGAGATACACCCATGGAGTGGGACAGTGACACCCCGCAAGGCAGATGCTTGTAATAGTTGCCTGCAGTGGAGGTGAAGAGCCTTATCTCAAGGCAAGCTGCTGTTTGCCCTGCCAGAAAGAGCAGGTCCTCACCTTCCTGTAAGCTGCTCCCTCCTCTGGCTTTGGGACGCGCTGGTTGACATAGAAGACGCGGGGGATGCTCAGCCTGATGCAGTGCAGGTCGCTCCCGATCACCGCCCACAGCCTGAACAGCCCAGGCTGGCTGGTCTCGGCGATCTGCAGGACACAGGGGTACAAAGGTAGTGTGAGCAGGGAGCTCCAGCACGTTATCAGTGCTTATGTCTAAGCTGTGGAGCACCCTCTGGATCTATACGGCAAGTTGGTGACCACAAAGAGAGCAGGGGGCTTAAAGAGTCGTTGCTCCCAGTGCTGGAGTCCCTATATCCTGCTACTGTCCCAGAGCACCATGGAGAAAACTTTCTGGCTAAGGCTGGCCAACCAACTCAAGCTGACCCTCGATGTCAGCCAAGTCACTCTGACATCCTGGACCAGCCATCCCACCCCAAGCTCGCTTGTGCACAAGGGCTGCCTGCAGCTCTGGAGGCCTTTCTGGAAGATGAAGTGGGTGATGTGGCTCAGATGGCCATGAGTAACGAGGATTTGTGAAAACGCCTGGATAGCACCACCCCACTTCCACGTTTGTAGGCTGGTTGCTTCCAGGCATCACTGGAATCCTGTGTCCATCACAGGCACAGTGCTGGGCTCCCCAGTACAGGAGAGACATGGCACCACCCCACTTCCACGTTTGTAGGCTGGCTGCTTCCAGGCATCACTGGAATCCTGCGTCCATCACAGGCACAGTGCGCCCAGTGCTGGGCTCCCCAGTACAGGAGAGACATGGAAATACTGGAGAGAGTCCAACAAAGGGTCACGAGGACGAAGAAGAGACTGGAGCATTTTTCATATGAGGAAAGGCTGGGAGAGCTGGGACTGCCCAGTCTGGAGCAGAGGAAGTTCAGAAGGATCTCATCAGTGTATATAAACATCTGAAGGGAAGTGCAAAAACGATGGAGCCTGGCTCCTCCCAGTGGTGCCCAGTGGCAGGACCAGAGGCCATGGGCACAAACTGGAACGCAGGAGTTTCGCTCTGCACATCAGGAGACACTTTTTCCCTGTGAGGGTGACAGAGCCCTTGCATATGTTGCCCAGGGAAATTGTGGAGTCTCCCACCTTGGACATTCTCAAAAGCCATCTGGATGCTGTCCTGGGCAGCTGGCTCCGGGCGGCTCTGCTTGAGCAGGGGGTTGGGACCAGATGGACCCCAGAGCTGCCTCCAAACTCAACTGGGGTTTTGTGGTTGTGTCTGCTGCACAGTGCTGCCAACGGGCTGAACTGGAGCTGCCCCACTGGCAGATCTACATATGCCTCCCAGATTCACCACCAAGGATAACCACATGGCCTCCTGTTTCCATACAGATGTGCGTGAGCCCAAGGCTCCACAGCCCGCCCTGGCCCCCCCAGGGTTGGCACCAGTGCAGTGCTGGGATCAGCAGGCCATCAACTTCACCATCGGACCACAGACAGTGACAACGTGCCCCATGCTGCCCTCCATGGCAGGTCCCCTCCTTGGTACCTGCACGATCTGCCAGGGCAAGTCCAGGATGCTGCGTGCTGTCCGGCGCAGGTAGCTGCCCAGCCCTTTGGAGAGAGCATCGCGGACCACTCCTCCACCCGCTGTCACCTCGCCGTCCTCCAGGCGCCGCCTCTTCCGCCGCTCCCGCCGCTGCCGAGCCTGCAGCTCCCACTTCTTCTGGTGGTAGCGCAGCCAGACCAGCCGCTCCTCCTGAGTGGGGTGACACCATGTGTGAGTCGAGCCAGAAACCAGCAGAGGATTCCCAGTCCCCCAGCACTGCGCCATACAATGGAGCCCTCTGTCCTACAGCTGCACATCATGTTCCTGCCCCAGCTGTGAAGCCACCACCACCCCCCTTTTCTCCATTGGTGGTTATATTTCTCCATCTCCTGGTCATACTTCTCCTTGTAGCCCTGAGCCATGGGCAGGCAGAGGGTTTCAGGAGACCCACAGCTCACTCCTGGCAGCACCCAAGCTGCTTGGGTGGACGAGCACAGCCCCAGGGCATCTCCTGCCCAGCCTGCTTCACCTACTTTGGTGGTCCCCAGGGGTGGAGGTGGACCCAGGATCTCTCGCCAGGACTGGGATAGCTCCAGGTACTGGGACATCTGTTGGCTTTCCTCTGCCGCAGGGACCCGCTTCCGCTTATTTGCGATGGGAACTGGCAGCTGAAGGGTCTTGGTAGCCCCAAAGTCCTCTATGTCACCAATCTGTGAGCTGGGTGTCCCCTCCGGGGGCTGGTTGGCGAGGACCTGAGGGAGCAAGGACAGCAGGAGGACGTGGGTTGGAGAAGAGCCCCACCAGCACAGCCGGCACCTTTCCCTCACTCTCTTTACCTGTCTCTTCCCTTCAGAAGCGAAGAGCTCATTGATTTTTTTCTGTTTGTACACATCGTTCTTCTCCAGGAGTTTCTTGTGGAGCCAGTCTGGGTGCCGGACCCGCGGCACCGGGTTCTTTACCTGGAGAGCATCTCTGGATCACACCGAGTCCCTTAACCAAAGCAGTCCTCCTGCCCCGCCACCGCCTCGTACCTGCTGCAGGGCTGCGGGGATGGTGATGATTTTCTGGATGGTGCTGCCCAGTCTCTCGATGTAGTAGTCCCAGTCCAGGATCTGTGAAAAGAGCAGAGCAGCAGGTAGCGAAGAACACTGAGCAGAAGGCCACCAGACGCAGGGTCAAGCGTCTCCCAGGACCCCCGGCCCCAGCACCCCACTTTGCGAGCGCAGGCGGCTGCGGTGCAGGTCGCGCCTCCGAAGGGACGAGCCCCTGTCCCGGAGCCGGGGCCATCCGCAGGGATGCCCCACTCACCGCGCGGATGTTGAAGTCCTGCAGCGAGGGGCTCTTCAGCCATTTTCGGAGGTAGTGTTTGCGCACGCTGGGCTCGGCTTGGAAGATGGCGAGGGGGATGGCCCTGGGGAAGGCAGGGGAGCATTTGTCCCCCACCCAGAGCAAGGTCCCAGCTGCACGATTGCCTCTCCCAGCCTGTGGAGACCCTCCAGGCTTCTCCTCCCACCCCGCAAGGCCACCGTGCAGCGGGTGCACGGTGTTACCCATCGCTAGGCTTGCTCATGGTCTGAGCCAGCAGACAGGTGATAACTGGGCCACACCACACCAGCTCGCCCACCTCCTGCTCACCTCCTCCCTTCCCCTCTTGGTTGCCCCTACACTGTCAAAACCCCTGTGCCCTCAAGATGGGGTTACCTCTCGGTGACCGGAGACCCTTCTGGTTTCTTGGAAATGATGAACCGGCAGCTGAGCCCGGCATCCTTCACCATCTGGTCCCCCAGGAACTCTGCCAGGCGCTTGGCAGTGCTGATGGAGGTGGACTTCTGCTCTCCGTAGTCCTCCAGCTTGCGTGACATGGACCGGTTCTCCGAGATCAGCTCAAACAGCTCCGAATCAGGCATGTTGGCAGCCTGAAAGGGAGGAAAAAAACCCCAAACTAGCAAGAACATCATGAGCAAACCTTGCTGCTGTCAGAGGCAGGGAGTGCCTACACCAGTTGGTGTGGCCCTTTACGGGGAGCCTGGGAATTGCTCCCTGCTGCAGCTGCTGTGACCTACTAGAAGGAGAGCACATGGGTTTGAGGCTTGCATCGGTTTATGCCATGGCTGGGCTGGGGCAGCAAGTAGTTGAGCTCACCAAGAACTTCTTGTACAGGGACCCAACCAGGCTCTCAGTCCCTCTCACCCCCCACTTTCTTGAGTTTTCTCGGCTCTCTGCAGTTACTGTACAGCTGATGTCTCTGTGCTCCTCACAAAACACTCCACAGGCAAGTGGCTTTGTCATTCTCTGCCTCAGCAAACGCCCTTAGCCAGTGTCCTTGGAGGATGAAGGCCACCAGGCCAGCTCCATGAAGGAGGTGACTGGAGAAGGACACCACTCACCCACAGTCAACAGCTGAACGAAGAGCCCTTGCGCTAAGATGCTAAAGAGCAGCTCTAGAGAACCGAAGTAGCAGAAGTAAGATGGAAGTGCCCATCAGAGGCCCATCAGACCACCTAGTCTGTTCAAGCGAGGTCTACCCTCCCCACAGTGCCAAACCAGCTCTGACACTTCTCCAGCTCCACCTCAGGAGCACAGATGTGCTGAGCTGCGCTCACCTTGCTGTAGAGTACGTCCAGCCAGTAGTCGGCCACCTTGGCCACGGAAGCGTAGACCTCCTCCAGTGTGCTGCCTTTCAGAAAGGCTTCAAACACAGAAGACTGGAATATCTTCACCAGCTGCAGCTCGCCCCGGCGCTTCACCTCGAATCCCTTCAGCTCAGCCAGGGACCCGTCCTCGTTGAATACCGCGTACCTGGGAGACACAGCGTGGGCAAACCTGGCCTGTGCCACGGGACACGTCCTCCAGGATCCTGCTCTTGTCCCTCCTGCCAGGGTGCTTCTCCCCAGGCCACCACGCCGCCATCCGGCGCATTCAGCGGAGCCGCGGTGCTCGGCACTACGATGATCTCGGAATATCTACAGCTGCTCTACCAACCGTTGCAGCGTGGCCTGCAAAAGCAGGTCAGCACGTACCCCAGCTCATCCACAGCCACTGGGACAATGATCTCAATTGCACACAGGTGAAGGGCAGGAGGCGAGCGCCCAGGTGGGCCGATGGAGGAGGACGTTAGGAAGAGGTTCAGAGAGAAGAAGGAAACTGTCAGCTCAGACGCTGGCAAAGGGGTTCAGAGAAAACTGGACATGGCCATGACACGACGGTAGGAACACTCCTCCCCCTCTCCTTTTCTCTTGCACTTTTTTGCATTTCACAGCCCTGCCAATTACTTGTATCTCTCAAGAAAACAAACAAACAAACTTATGGGAACATCAGCTAAGAGAAGAGAGGGGATACTCAAACCTACATCACTTGGCCAGCCCTTCTCCCACCCGACCACACTGCTGCGGGCACGGCCTTCTCTCCTCCACGATGGTGCCTGCCAGTCACCTCCAGGCTGCTTGGGTCGGAGAGTGACCACGAACTAAATTCACTCGCTAACGTTCCCAAATGACGAGAAGCCAAGAGGCCTGAGGCAAGAGTCCTACAGGCAGAGCCCGCTCGGAGCTCGGCACCACCTCGACTCCGGCGGGGGCTCACTGCCTGCAGAAGGGCACTGGCAGGGGACGGTGGGTGCTGGAGCTTGTCCGATGGGGCACTAAGCACGAGGCAGCAGAGAGCTGTAAGGATGGAGGGTGCTGCAGAGCAGCAACAGCATCTCTTGGAAGCAGACCCAGGTCTGTGGGTGCCCCTCTGACAAGTGGTTGCTACTGCTCTGGCTCGTGTTCCTATTTAGGAGGCTGCAGAGAAATCAGTGAAGTTTGAGTACAACTATCCTGTAACGTGACAGTAATGGCAGGACCTGTTCCTTCTTCCAGATGGAGAAGGAAGGGGAAACATCTAGGAGAAGCATTACTGGAGGTCTATGAACTCTTGAGAGACGGGAAGGCAGGAACTGGTGAGTTTAAAGAGATTAGGTTGCATATAAGCAGTAATAGAAGTTCTCAGAAGGAAAGTCAAAGTCCTCCTGCACACCTCAGAGCCAAACAGGGAGATCGTGTCTGATCACCACGTTGGAGAAATGTTGTTTTGCTGTTACCTTCTGAAATTTATTGCGGTAGTATGGCACTGGAGGCAAGTGTGTAGCTGGATTCAGAGACGACCTGGTGTAATGAACTTGCCATTTAAGGCCAGTGAATCGTGTGTGCCGCCAGCTCCAGAGGCACAGACCAACGTGCCTCACGTGCACCACGGAAAAGAGACCCTCAATCTGTTACCCGGGGGAAGCGATAATATTTCAAGCTTTGAAATCTCACCTTTTCTTCAGCTTCTTGCCCTCCTCCTTGGAAGCTGGGAGGATCATGGCCAGGTATGGTCCATCCACTTCAAAAAAGATGCTGTTCTCCGAGCGCGTGACGTAGGTGAGAGAGGCTGGGTCCTGCAGCTCCTGGTACTGATCATTCGTGAAGCCTTCCTATGGGCACAGCCCCAGAACAGCTCCACTCAACAGCCAGGCTGGTTACACCAGGAGGTGGCCCTCAGGCACACCCTGCCCTAAGGGATCGCTGACCGCCCCTCTGAAAGCTATGGCACAATTCAGGACGCAAAACGCAAAAAACATCCGACCTGCCTGTTGAGAAGAAAAATGCTTTGGACCCTGAAATTATAGTCTTGGGTCTTACAGAAGCTGCATGAAGCAGAGGACAGGTTTGGACCTTGCTCTGCTCTGGCCTCCCAGCCTGCACAGGTGAACGTGGACCAACCCTGGCCTCTTACGCGCCACCCTCTCTGCTGCAGGACATCGGAGCCTCTCCCTCCGCTCAGACGCTCTCTGGGCAGCGAGCAGCTGTGCAGCACACAGGGCCAACATCCCGCTCGCGACACAGAGAGCAGAGATGGAAGAGAGGCCCTCCTCCCTTGCCAGTCCTCCACCTCCTTTTTCCCAGAGTGCAGAGCTGGCCTGGATGGGTGCAAGACTCACCTTCACCAGGATGTTCAGCATGGCACCTGGGTAGGAGATTGTCACCTTTGGCTTCTTGGCATTGGTTGACTTGATGACAAAGTTCTCTGGGAAGCTGTTGGGGAGGACACACCAAATCCCATCTGTATCCAGTTCCAGAGGTCTCCTAAGGAAGGAAGGAAGGTCCATGTCAGGAGGAGAGCGGATGATAGGTGAAGATCAGCTCTGTGTCCCCCATAGAGGTAGAGGCAGTCTGCTGCCTCCACCCTCCGGTCCCTTCTGCAAAGCAAACCCTTATAACACCAGAGAACAACCACAGCAGTGTCAGAATCTGAATCTTCCACATGAACAGCTGAAAGCTCAGGTGTTCCACGTGCCCCACATCTGTCCCAGACGCAGACAGACCTTTCTTCCCCAGCTCAGCACACACTCACCCGATCTGCTCGATCAGTTCCCTGGCCTGGGTGATGATATTCGCTCCCGTGAAGCAGACGATGCCGGCCATTTCCATGGAGTACCAGCGAGCTCTGTGAGCACAGGAGGAAAAGTGAAGAGCATGAAGTGCCCCCTCCCAAACCCAGCTCTGGAAAGTGCAGGACCTCCAGAGGAAGAAGGGCAAGAAACATATCAACACTGGTGCTTGGTAGATTGTTCTCCTTGCCCCAGTTATGATGCTTCAGAAGAGCTGGAAACCCACTAACAGACAAGATTCCAGTCACTTTTGCCCAACACTTAATGTCTGGCAGGAGTCTCCAGGATGAGAAGTCATTGGTGGAAGCAAGAGGAGAGTGTTATCGGCAGCACCTACCTTCATCCTGGTGCTTCAAAAGCAGGTGAAGCAAGTGACAGCCCCCTAGGACAATCCTGGTTTCCAAGGGTCCTCTCCAGAGGACTCTGGCATCGCCCAGGGAGAAGACTCACCCTTTCCGCATGACGTAGCCGTAGAAGGAGTTGAGGATGCACTTGTGGGCCAGCTGCAGGGAGTCGTACAGGATTTCCATGTTCTTGCAGCGCTTCACTTCAGAGGCGTCTCCTGTCTCCACCGCTGCAGACAGCTTCTTCTTCCACACCTGCAAGCCACAGGCAGAGTCAGGAGGATCCCACACATCACTACTGGTGGCATCCAGCTGGTTCCCTCTCAGTCCCAGTATAGCATTACGACTCTAAAACCGTGGACCAGGTTGCCCAGAGAAGTTGTGACTGCCCCATCCCTGGCAGTGTTCAAGGCCAGGTTGGATGGGGCTTTGATGAACCTGGTGTAGGGGAGAGTTTCCCTGCCCACAGCAGGGAAGTTGGAACTGGATGATCTTCAAGGTCCCTTCCAACCCAAACCATTCCATGACTCCATGATTCTATATTTGCCAAAGATCAGTAGCATGAGCTAAACATTGCTTTTCTTTTGCAGCAAAGGAGGAGTTGGCCAGAGGCACTTTGCCACACGGCAGGAGGGACCTGCAGCACCAACCATAACTCTGATGGTTGACGATCAGAATCCAACCAGTGCTGGCAGCGCTGCCTGTCTGCAGCAGCTGTGCTGCACCACTCGTGCAGCAGTCCGCGATGTCTGGACAAAGAGCAGAACCGTCTGCGCAGAAAAAGCCTCTTGGCCAGCTCTGTGATTCATGGCAGAAGAGGCACCCAGGAGTAATCGTAAAGCAAACAGCTCATTAATTAACTCTGCCAGAGGTAGAGCCCCAGGGCCTCGTCATTGCCTTCAACACACTCCAAGAATAACGTGCCCTGGTCTCCTCTAGCATGAACCTAGGACGAGAACATCCTCCTGGAATCAACCGTTCCTTAACCCGAGGTCTAGACCTTGCTTCTCAGCCTGTCTCTTTTTCTTCCATGCAGGAAGAACGCATGGCCAGGCTGAACCCGGCCAGATCAGATACATCCCAACAGGGACTAGCTGCGGATTTGCTAAACCCAGGGAGAAGTGGAGATGCAGCTTTGTTTCCCACAGCACCACAGAGGCAGCAAATGCTGTGGCAGAGCGAGAAGCCACAGCTGTCAGGAGCTCCGCCGCGTCCTTCTCCAATACAAAGGCTGAATGGAGCAATCCTTTAGGGCTCAGGTTCTCCGCGAGAGACGAGAGGTCCCCAGCCTTGGCCCGGCGAGTTAGACCAGCAGCTGAGCTCAGTACCTTGTGCAGCCCCTTGAACTCGTAGCGGCGGTCCCTGAAAGCTCGCACCGTGTCCACATAGAAAGAGTTCTCTCGCTGGCAGATGGTGGTGACTCGTTCCTCCACCTTGGTGACGTGGATCTTCTTGTACGCCTTGCGGCAGTAATCTAGCAAGGGAAGAAGCAGAGGGAGCTTCACAGAGATGGGTGCCCTGCTACAGACAGAGGGATGGACACAGTGTGGACAGGGAGACATCTAAGATCAGGCACAGGTGAGCAGGGAGACAGTCCTACTGCGAAGGGCAGGGAAGGATGACACCAGCACAGAGAGAAGCAGCACCTCATTAAGGAGATGCATGGACAGGTGGGGGAAATAAACTCATCATGATGCACATATGGCCCATCCACAAACCCAGGCTCTGACCCTGGCCAGCTGGATGGTTCTGCTGAACAACATCACTCCAGGTGATGGGATAACGTTATGGTTCTCTTTCATTAACAGGCTTTAATTAGCAGCCTTCCAAAAAATGGAACCATTCCTGTTTCAGCTTGAATCCATGGCTCTCAACAGACTAAAGGAGAAACCACCGGTGCCCGGCCCTTCTTCAGGAAGCACACAGGAGCCTGCTGGGACCCTGGAGAAGGTCTGCCACAGCGTGGTGTGAGACCAGACCCAGTCTGAACCAACCCCCGGCCCTGACAGGTAATTCATGGGGAGCCCCGCTCACGGCCGAGGCTGCAACCGCCGCTCCAGATGGTGCCGTTCATTTTTTTACGAATTTTTTTTTTTACCTGCCAGCCGCTTTTTCTCGTACTTGGCCTGTTCTTCCCGGGAGAGCTCGTGGAAGGCGCGAGGTGCTCCCTCGGGGGACAGGGGAGGGAACTTCTCCGACTCCAGCTGCTGCTGGATGCGGTGATACTCACTGCGGCTGGCGGGCACTGCGGAGGAGGGCAGCTATCAGTTTCCCGGGGGAGAAGCCGGAGTTCGTCTCCGTGGGTTGGACTGCACGGTCCTTACGGCACTTACTGAACTCGCCTCGCCACTGCCAAGTCATGCGGCGCTGGCAGTTGGCACCGGGCTTGTTGAAGTCACAGGCGGCACACGTGGCCTCGTCCACCATGGCCGAGGGCTGCGCACAAGCGAGACACGCGGGCGTTAGAGGGGACGGCTCCGCGGGCGACGGCTCGCGCCGGAACGGGCGCAGGCTGGCACAAGCGTGTGAGCATCAGAGAGGGTACTCAAGGAGTTCTTCTTTCCAGAGCCTTTCAGGAACACAAAACCCCCCAAAACAATAACTGGGGTTTTGGGAAGTCCTAGCTCAAGTTGTAGCTCAGCCTCTGGCATCTACAGCAGCTTGATCGAATTTCACACCCGGCCTTATCTGAACGCCCTGCCCTGAGCTGAAAGTTCAGCCCCTGGTGTTAAGGGGATCCAATTAGAGGGACCCTCAAGGTCATCTGAAAGACAAATGAGGAGAGACAAGGCTGATGTGACCCACCTGCAACCTGTTGGTCAGAATGATGTTGGGGTACATGGCCCCCACGTCTAGATGGTAGATAAGGGGACACTCAATTCTGTTCGGAACGTCCTTCAGGGAATTCAGCTTGACCTTGATTTCATCGCAGACCTGTGGGGAGACAAAAAGAAGTGAACCTCAGACAGGAAGGAGTGAGCTTGTTGAATTCAGTCCTTTGCCCCTGCACAGGGCCACCTGCCACCGACTCTGGGGAAGGATTTAAAGGACCAAAGGAGCAGCATAAGGGACTCCTCAACCACTGGTACTTTGGGTTTTGTTTTGGACCTCCAAGGTAGACTTTACCTGTAGGGGTATGTGGAAACTGAGAGCAGCTACTTCCTAAAGGTTACTCGATCAAGGACCTTTTCAGTGCAAATGGGTTAATGGAGACAACAGCAAAGACCAGAAGTCCCCAGTCACTAACTGATGATGCCCTCCAAGAAGCTCCACACTCAGCTTTGGAGAGGGGTGACCTGCACTTTGTAGTCAATAAGAGGCAGGGAACAAGAGGAACATGAGTATTTGGGATACCTGAGGGGTCTGTCTTTTCACTAAATCCCTTCCCAGCTCCCTCAGAGCTTTGCTCCTGGTTCAACCTGCTAAGGGGAAAGCAGGAACCGTGTCCCTCAGCCAGGTCAGAGACCCCGGATCCCCAGGCTGGGATCCAGTGGCTGCACAGGGGGTCCTGGCTGGGGCTCCTGGAGGCAGGGGCTGCTTGTAACACCCCTTAACACCACTAACTCTGCAGGTGCCCATGGGTGGGCTTCTTGGTCTCTCCCTGTAGAGCACAAAATGAGCCTAAATGGGCACTTTAAAGCTGCAGCCCCAGCCTGGCAGCTCAGCCCTCCCTGCCAAGCCCAGGCCTGCCGCGGGCAACGTACCTCCTGGAAGTTGGTGACCTGATCCAATGGCAAACCCTCCTCCTCCTCAATGGCATGCTGCAGCGTCTTCTCCACGTGCTGCACCAGGAAGGCGAAGGCGGCGGGATTCTGCGGGGGCGTGGGGACGGCGCTGGGACTGCGGGCAGCCGCCGGCGGCTGCAGGCTGGGCCCTGCTGCCCGTGGCCCTGCCTGACTCGGGGAGCTCTAAGCACAGCCCTGCAGCAGGTCCCTGCAGGACCTCTCACGGTCACATGCTGGCTGGTGCAAGGGTCCAAAGAGTTAGACTTAGTCTGGACCCTTTTCCACACCCAGCAGCTGCTGCTCCCCACGATCGTTCACCAGGCGACATCCACCAAAACGTGGCGCACGGGGTGCGATGCGTCGCACGGCAGAGTGAAACTCAAGAGTCCATGAGCACAGCACAGGGGTGAAGCAGGGCAAGGGGAGGGTGATGGAGGCAGCAGCGTGACCCAGAGACAGGTGAAAGACGCCCAGGAAGGGTTCAGAAGAAGCTTACTTTGGGTGGGGGAAGGACAGAGGGGGAGGACAAGACCCAAAGGGGACAGAGGCATATCTTCCAAGAACCACTGGCTCAAAACCAAACCCCAGTCCCCACTTCGCCACTCTCCCTCACTGTCAACAAGGTCTGGCTTGCTTCTGGTATGTGACACATGCGGCACGTGCGCCCCCCGTGAAGCACAGCTGGCCACTTGAAGGGCTCCCCCCATCCCTTCCCAGCCCAGCTCCAGGTGCTCAACATCTCCTGAAGTATGACAGGGGCTGTCCGAGCCCAGCAGGGACACACAGGAGATGTTACCATCAGCGGAGGGCTGTTCCTCACCACCATGCTCTGCGAG